TGGCGTCGCACAAGATGGCGAACACGCAGATGACAACTTCGTTTTAGACGGCTGGGAAACAGACGTTCGTTTCTTGTTGCAATCGCGTTATGCTTTGGCGCAGAGGGACATCCAGGATACCAAATACGCCAAGTATCAGCGTATACTGAAACCCAGTTCATTTCAGAAGCCATTTACAATTCAAGAAGAGTTATGGAAAGATGTACGACTTATTCGTCACTACAAGTCCAAAAAGTTCGCATGCGCTTCACGTCAAGGTGGGTTCTCAAATGGTCTGACAGCATACCTCAACGAGGTGACGGAATATTCCAGACCATTAGGGCCAGAGAAAGTCGGTAAATTCAGAGAAAAACACACTCGTTGGGAAGTGTCTTTAGAAGCGAAGCTTCCAGAAGATTTAACAGAGAAGGAAACTGTTAAAACGTTCTTAGAGGAAGTCTGGAATTACGCACTTGCCTTGTCCTCATTGGTATCGAAGTAAAATGACATGATCTGAGTTAATGTCAACCAATTAAGAGGCCTTCTCTGATTGGACAATTCTTCACGCAAAGTGTTAGAATCGCTGGTCGGTGAAATGGAGTCGCCTCAAAATAGGCGTATTTATCACAAATTAGCTCAAATCAAAGTTGATGTGTTAGTCTTAACACACCAGATTTTTCTTAATTTTTTTAGCTGCGGAGGACAACCCACCCATTCGTCTATCTGATGTTTCTGTCCTGGTGTTTGACGAGGCTCACCACTGCAGCGGAAACCACCCGTACAACAAGATTATGAAGTACTACAAAAAGACGCCCAACCGGTTTAAACCTGTTGTGCTCGGTCTCACAGCCTCGCCGGGCGGAGAACTTATGGAACTTATGAACTTAAGTATGGAAATACGCAATTCTTCACGCGAAGTAAAATGACATGATCTGAGTTAATGTCAACCAATTAAGAGGCCTTCTCCGATTGGACAATTCTTCACGCGGAATGTTAGAATCGCCGAAATGTTTTTAGGTCACAGAATGTCAAAATCGCTCGATGTAAGCTCTAGTAGCTTAGATACAAGGTGTACAACAAATTATTTCTGTACAATTTCAGTGGTCAATTTATTACATTTCTCGTCATTCAATTTTAATGTGCTCTAAGTACGATTTTCTAAGGGTATAACTGCATAAAATGTAGCAGGTCTGAAAGCGAACTCACCCCGTGATCCTGAAATGAATCTTTTGTCAGATCAGGGAATCAGATATTTTGATTAATGCAGTGTTAATAGAGGAATAGCGAGTATTCACCCTTGCGATGACGTCACGGTAGAATTCAACATCAAGAGCGGGTCGCTCTGATGTTCGTCGGGTCTCAAAACCATTTCGCTCTATGAACTAGGATAAATGTCTCGCTCGTTTTCTTCAGAGTGCAAATTTGTGCTTTTTGTGCTGAGAATCAATTCCTTACCAAGAAAATTCTTTCAGCATCCTGTTTTAAGAACATTTAAAGAAGGCGACAGTTTCCAGTTCAGTAGAACTTAAGGTAAAAGTATTGATTTAGATAAATTTTGCCAAAAAGCCCTCTGAGTTTTGTTAAATATTTAGTCCAGTGAGAAATAAGCACGATGCTGCTGAAAATCAGCCTATGTGAATGCTCAACACAGCCATTTTCTAACGCTATAGAATGAAATTAAAGTGAGTGAAATAACTTTGCTTTGGGACGAAAATAGGGGTGTGGGAGAATTTTTGGCCGCGGATGTAATTTTGATTGCATTATGCCTGTTTGAAGCATGCAGCTAACTCAATAAAGGGGTGAAACCTTGTGGAATATTCAGTACTCTATGCTTTCTGTTTCCAGGCCGAAAGTAATATGGTATATTAATTCAGCAAAAAAACTGATAACCCACGAAATCTCCTTCACAGTCACTCCTAGAAGGTAACCGTT